GTATTTTATAGCTTCCATATACTTTCTATATTTTATTTTCCTATATTTACGTTTATTAATTTATTTTTACAATGCACAGCCCGCTGTTTCTACTATTCTTATGGTATCGTTTCATTTAGCCAAAGGTTGCCTGGTAGAGATTGCTACCTTAGCAATAAGGCCGCCTTTTGTGTTTGCGTTCCTGTTTTATGTTTATTGTTTTTTTTTGTAATAGTGCAATAAAGAGTATTCATTCATTCATTCATTCATAAATCATTAAACGCTCTGTCCTTTTTAAGATCACACTTTCAGCTGCAAAAATGCCAAAATCTTAAGATGTTATTGATAACGTTTATCTTTTTATTTTCGATTCTTTTGCATATTGTTATTTAGTATTGTTTGATTAGTAAATATATAAATGGTACAAAGTAAATGAATAGATGATTGTTAAGTAATTTACCTATATATTTTTTTAATGTTGATTGCCATGCGAATTTTAATTATTGGGACGGCATTTTTGTTGTATTTTTTTCTTTATTTTAATAATTTATCTTTTATTTAATAAAAAATTGTGGATCTCAAATTCTTAGTTCCGCCGAACTATTTATTAATATATTTTTAACAGCAGAAGTAGTAAAATAATAAAAAAAAACAGAAACACTAGACGATATTTACTCAATTCTTATCCTTTGTATTACAATTACTAATTAATTATTAGAAAAATTACGCTATTTACAATTACTAATTAATTATTAGAACAATTACGCTATTTCCACTTATTTAATCACAAAACACTTTTTAAATTGTGCACTTCACCATAATCACTATTGAATTAATAGAAATATCGACTTATAAGAATAACACTAGCAACCGACAGAGATTCGATCAGAGGTCCGTCCGCTTCGCGCGCCAAGAAGTTAATGTGTCATACGCGCGCGCCGCTCGCCTTTTATACAGAATGCCGGTGGTTTGACGGTAGTTTGCTTACACGGCCTCTCCTGACCGTGTGTCGTCCTCGACGCTGGCTCTGGGAGTGGGACCACTCGTTTCGGGGTCCACACTTTCTTCATCTAATAGGGGCATAGATGGTGCGGCTGTTGTGTTTGATGAGGTAGACGGTGCATTGCAGGGATCATCCTCATCTTCATCTGAAAACACAGTGAATTAAGAGCATACTTTGAAAAGAACAATATTACCCTCGTCCAACCGCTCATGCTATCCATCTCTCTTTCCATCAACATTTACTTAATTCACACTTCAACTATTAACCTTCAAAACACCACAAACCTTTCATCCATCATCGTAATGAATATATCACTTAGTTTCACATCACATGAAACAGCAACAGGTTAACCATTAAGGTTTACCCGTGCAGCAACTTGGGGCCCACCAAGCGCTTATGGCGACGAACGCCAGGGTGTAGCGACGAACGCTCGGGTTGCATAGCTTCCCCACCCAACACATTTAGGCGACACACTCCACGGTACATTAAGCGACACACGCTCAGTACATTATGCGACACACGCATAGTACAATAGGCGACACACGCACAGTACAATAGGCGACACACGCCACAGTAGCATTAGGCGTCACACGCCACAGTAGCATTCAACTCGCTCTCGAAGAACGCTGCACAAGACTCAGGGCACCACTCGCCCCTCCACGGCACCATATGTTGTGCTGCCACCTGCATCTTCTTGCCATAGCCACCGCTGAGCAGGCGAAGGGCGTAGCGACCACTCGGCAGAACTTCAGTCACCTTATAGGGATCGCGCATACGTCAAGGTTCCCTGTTGACTGAGAGAACTTATTCACATACACAAAGTCATTGACATTAAACTGGCGTGGTAAATATCTTTGTAGGTTAGCTCGTTCATCTTGTCTGCTCCGATTATATTTTAGAAGTTGGCGTGATCTGCTTCTGGTGATTTCTCTTAGCGCCTGCCTGTTAGGAGCTGAACATTCGACAGCTATGTCTCGCACATATTAACGTACAACAGTAATGGTAGTTTCCGTTCCGATGAGCAGGTTAAGTTTAATTAAATCTTACCTATAGCTGAGGAACTTGCTTCACTCCTTCTGGGGGTAATGTGTGGACTAAAGCTTCTACTTTACGAGGGCTCGGCCTAACCTGACCCTGAGTAACTAGCCTACCGAGGTACTCTACCTCGGTTACTAAGAAAGAGCACTTACCGAGGTTTATGGAAAAGCCTGACTGAGTGAGTGTATCTAATACCCTATGCAGCAACTCAATACCTTCATAGGAGGTGTTGTATGACCGCGGCAGTAATATCGTTACTTCGATTAGAGTCTAACGTTTGAGAGCAGAGGTTAACATTACGCTGATTACGAGACTCAGGTCGTGCTTTTGCAAAACAAATATCCTCGGTATGACCCTGTTTCTTACAAAAAGTGCAGGTATTGCTAGTTCCGGGCTGAATATTATTAGGAGTGATGTTTGATTTTACACGCTTACAATCACGACTTATATGACCGCAAAGACCACAGTTAAAACATTTTGGAGGTTGACGAGCACTCAAAGTTTGAGGATCAATCTTCTTAGCGTTAATTAGTTTGTCGGTTTTTACTCTATTTGTTTTAGTTTAGATTGACAGAAAAGAGACAAGACTGTCTGATGTTAGTTCGGCATTAGCGGCAGCAGCGCGTATTTGAGGACTATCTATGCCTCGTATCACGATAAGAGTTCTTAATTCGTCGCTAAGTCCTTGAACCACCCTAAGACGTAATAAAGTGCGACGCGCATATTCTGCGTACGTAGGGTATTTGTCAGAGGTGGCATTCATGGCGTCAAACAATATTTGCATAATCTAACTTAGTAGGACAAAGCGGTTTAAATTCCTTTTTGAAATTGGACCATGTTCTATCGTTCGTAACCCATTCGCTTAACCACACCCTAGCATCGCCCTTAAGACAAGAAGCTACGCGAGACAAGCACTCGTGGTCACTCCAACCATTGGCATTTTGAGCCCGATCCACCTCGTCGCACCATGCTTCGATGTTATTAATTGTTGGATCAAAGTTAGAAACATAATAATTATGCGACTTGTTCAGTTGTAATGTCTTAATTGCTTGCATCAGAGCATGCGCGAGGGTAGATGACTCAGAATGTGGAGCAACAGATACTTCGGAAGGGTAGGCATGCAAAATATTCGAGGGTACCGGACTTGGTGTTCGCGTTACCGGTACATGTTTAGATCGAGAGTGATTAGAATCACGAATATTACTACGCGAACGCTCCCGTGAACGTATAAGAGAATGGTCTCTTTCTTTCGAATGAAAATGAGCACGAACCCTGCCACGCGAGCCGGACGAATCTCGGTTACGCGAGGTGCTTCGAAGATCGCGACGCCTCCGTTCGCTCGCCGTATGTTGTGACGCATTGCGAACACGGTCGCGGGATTCACTCCGCGAGCCACGCCTATGCATCGATCTACGTGGTCTTCGACCGCGTGACTTGTTTCCCGAATCACGCTCCCGCGCTCGCCGACCGTGGCTAGGCGATTTCGACCGCACCATATTCACAAAATTTAGCACTGAATACACAAAAGTTCAACACGATACGTGATTAAATAAGCGATTAATCTTTAAACAAAATTTCACAAAAGAAAATAAAAGTTTATACAAATGTGGGTAGTTGTTTTCTTTATCCCACTTCTGATTTTAACAGCAGAAGTAGTAAAATAATAAAAAAAAACAGAAACACTAGACGATATTTACTCAATTCTTATCCTTTGTATTACAATTACTAATTAATTATTAGAAAAATTACGCTATTTACAATTACTAATTAATTATTAGAACAATTACGCTATTTCCACTTATTTAATCACAAAACACTTTTTAAATTGTGCACTTCACCATAATCACTATTGAATTAATAGAAATATCGACTTATAAGAATAACACTAGCAACCGACAGAGATTCGATCAGAGGTCCGTCCGCTTCGCGCGCCAAGAAGTTAATGTGTCATACGCGCGCGCCGCTCGCCTTTTATACAGAATGCCGGTGGTTTGACGGTAGTTTGCTTACAATATATATAATTCTTCTGTGAGTGTGTATGTCACTGAACTTCTCTTAAACGACTGGACCGATTTTGATGAAATTTTTTGTGTGTGTTCAAGGGGATCTGAGAATGGTTTACATTCACAATTTTGTCCGCTGGACAACCCCTATTTTTTTAGGGCGGTACGAAGTTCGCTGGGTCAGCTAGTTTATTAATAAAAGACTACCCGGGAAGGGTAGAAAAAATAATGTATATTTAATATTTTGTTAGCCTGTTTTTCATGTAGGTACCTATGTAAGAGAAATAAACACTGATTTGAAATAAAACGGGCTTTTTAATATTCTTTGATTTGAAGTTCATATTCAATACCGTGATCCCGTGATCACGGTATTGAACATGCTAATACCGGTATTGATACCGGTATCGAAAAATTCCGGTATTTGAAAGCCCTAGTTATCACCCACCAAGCACTAGATTCATGTATTTTGTGACGGGTATTGTTCATTGTTAACGTATGAGTCACAGATGATACTAATCGTAAGCTAAAGAAAATATAACTAGAAAAAAGGCAGCAGACGGGACTCGAACCCGCACCCTTCGCTATCCGGACGAATGCACTGACCAATTATGCTACCGCGGCCCTCACGGACCGCGTCGAAATTCTTCTAGCCATTCTTAAGGTGCAAGGCAGCGCCTCTCGCATTATAGGTAACCCACGCCCGGATTGCGAAGGGTGCGGGTTCGAGTCCCGTCTGCTGCTTGGTCCGCGTGGAATTTTTTCTAGTTATATTTTCTTTAGATTTAAACATCAAGCAGTTACATGCTTTAAAATAATTAAAATTATAACTAATCGTAATGCCAAAATCGTAACACATTCGCCAGTTTACACCCCCCCCCCCCCCCCCCAAGTTAAGTGTCCCTAAAAAAGTTTTACTTCAAAAATTAGTTAATGATTTTGTTTGTTTACATGGTAAAATTGATTATTCCTTTTTGCAGATGCGTAGAACCCTTACGTATGGGCAGTTGGCCCAAAACTGACTTAGCACAATTTCTATGCGCTTACGAGCAATGCGCGTTACAAATGGACGTTTTAAGGTAATTTAATACATATGTTGCAATACATGTATAATTTGAGTCATACAATATTTGTTTCTTAGGGTTTCACGCACATCACTCATTAAATAAAACTAGTTTTAACGGCTTAATGCACGAACTTTATTTATTTATTGACGTTTCGCAGCCTTTTCAGGTCTGCATCGTCAGTTTTTTTTTGTTTTTTTATTTATTTTGTCGAGCTACCTTCGAAAGACTTTTATTGAGCGTTCGGATATTTCATTGGAAGATTTTTAAAAGTTTATTGTCTATGTATGAATTTATTAGTTAATTTAGTTAATAAAGTACCTTATTTAATATTCTTTTTTGGAATTTTGAGTTTATTTATTGTTTAGTAGGGAAGATGGTTGGTATATACCACCAGCTTGGGAACCCATTATACAAGAGATAAAATCCCAACCCCGAGCACACTGCAAGACCAACAGATACTATTTGTTCTTTTTTGTTTGCATAATTTAACATAAAAAGGAGATAGAAAGCCTCTCTGAGTTTCTTGCGCCGGTTCTTCTCAGAAAGGTCTCCCAATTTTGAAACTGGTGGTAGTTTACGGTAGATAGGGTCAAATAAATAAACCCAAAATTACAAAAAAGAATTTTAAATAAAGTACTTTATTAACTATTAAAATCATACATAGACAATAAACTTTTAAAATCTTCCAATGAAATATCCGAACGCTCAATAAAAGTCCTTCGAAGGTAGCTCGACAAAGTAAATAAAAAAAACATTATTCTGACGATGCAGACCTGAAATGGCTGCGAAACGTCTATAAATAAATAAAGTTCGTGCATTAACCCGTTAAAACTAGTTTTATTTATTGAGTCATAGAATTAAAAAATACCTTAATATTTGTTGTCATTTAGCACACACTGTTGTACAGTGCTTGGACTGTACCCTTAGCACGAAACAATATCGAATTCGTATCGTTTGCGAGTCCGAAATGTCATTGTCAAATGTGTACTGATATTTAGTTCTCGTTAAGTACTTTGTGGCGCTGCTGTTCAAGTTTCCATACAAAATTTGACATTGACATTTCGAACAGAACGTATTTTCAGCTCTATGCAAATTTTGGCTAAGTCTGTCTATTTTGACTGGACTATTAGGACATTGTCTTCAATAACCAATATCCTTTCCATGACATTATTTTCTCATATTGTGATTTTCACACTCGCAAACTATTCGAATTCCATAATGGTTCGTGTTAGGGGTACAGAATCATACTATAATCAGACACTGGTGTCGATTCTGGCATGATTCTCCAAACTTAAAACTAGATTTAACATCAGTTTCCATTTTCATTCTATATAGGGAATGACAAGGATACACTGATTGTCAGATTTAAGTTTAGGTAACCGTGCCAGAATCGATCCACTGTGTATTATTGGTAGATATGTATTTATTTATGTATATATTTCTGTGTATTTATATAATGTGGCTATATTGTATATTTATGTATGTATGTGTTTTTTGTAATTTTATTAGCTCTGCACATTCTTTCCGGTTGACTGGTAGAGAATTCCATACTGGCATTAAGACCGCTTTTTGCATAAAGATTAAATAAAATAACTAACTAAACTAATAATAATTAGTTTTAAGCTTTTGTTATTTAAATACCATTATGTATAAAAAAATGTGTGTGCCTATGACCACACGACTGAAGTGAAACTTCTTTAGCTGCATCTGTATGTGTATATATATAAAACTCAAATCTGTATGTCTATATATATATAAGACTGACTGACTGACATAGTGATCTATCAACGCACAGCCCAAACCACTGGACGGATCGGGCTGAAATTTGGCATGCAGGTAGATGTTATGACGTAGGCATCCGTTAAAAAAGGATTTTGATTAATTCTACCCCCAAGGGGATAAAATAGGGAATGAAAGTTTGTATGAAACTTTGTCAATTTTAAACCGATCGGGCTGAGACTTTGCATGCAGGTATAAGAAGAATCATACATAAACGTCATTGTGTATAATACAAGCCTGAGAACAAAAACTGTAGTCTACACTTCAGCTTTACACCGAAGCGAAGCGAGGGCGGGCCACTAGTATATGTATATATATATATATATGTACAATATATACATGTATGTACATATACATATTTTATTTACTAGCTATTAGAGAAAGAGAAAGAAAATGTGCGCGCGCACTGCTTTCTCTTGCTTATATCCCCCACTCAACTCCCGTTCGCCTCGCCCGATCACACTTTTCGTAACGCGTAACACGTTCGCCAGCTTAGGTACTTCCCAAGTCAAGTATGCGTAAAGAAGTTTCAGTTCAAAAAATTTAATAATAAAAAGAACACTATAGTAATATAAGTTATTTAAGGAATTGTTACCATTTACCTTGTTTTTAGCAAATTTCCGATATTTCGGCATTGTTGCAAGCGCCATGATCACAGAGTAACTGAATAATCCTGTGGTTCGTATGTGTAAAACCGGAAATAATCAAAAAGTGTCGTGTCGCGATCTGATACTGTAAGTGTTGTGTGTCGAGAACAGTTTCGAGTGAATAGTGAGAACGTGAACAGTGGTACGGGTATCGAACGCAATAAAAGACTTCGTCAGAGGGTAGACCGATATGTCTGCCAATAACATCTACCCGCAATCACTTCAGTTACTCCGTAATCATGGCGCTTGCAACAGTGCCGAAATATCGGGAACTCGCTAAAAACAAGGTACATGGTAACAATCCCGTATATTAATTATATTACTATTATGTTAGTTTAGTGACCATGAAAGTTTAAAACAATATAAAAAAACACTTACTAAACTTAACTACTTTTACAGGGAGGCGGATCTAAAAAGCGTATGGGAAAGATATATGAGAGTTATAAGTCAATGTCTCCTGACCATGTACCACGCGTAGAGGTTCATAAACGCCCAGATTGTACAGATGCATTGTGTAGCTTTTGTCTCCGATTTCGCGATAATGCTGTAATATTGTTGTATAATAAATTATTTATTGTTTGTTTTAATGTGTTTGATTATACTGAGAATTTAAGCCATAACTCAGGAGTTTTATTTTTAAATTAAAGTTTGATGTTTTCTCTTGCGATGATAATGTTATTACGTTAAATGTGACTTTAAATTACATTTGTGACCTTAACTTATTACTTTGGCCAATGATCATCATCATCATCAGCCTATTAATGTCCCCACTGCTGGGGCACAGGCCTACCCTATGGATGGAATAGGGAGATTGGGCCATGACGCACCACGCGAACCAAGTGCGGATTGGTGGGTGCTAACGGCTGCAGATGCAGCCGGGACCAACGGGTTAACGTGCCTTCCGAAGCACGGAGGAACTCGAGATAGAAGATTTTTGGTCACCCATCCAATGACCGACCACTAAGAAAGTTGCTTAACTTCATCGATCGCAGCCGAACGCGCTAACCATCTGCGCCATCGAGCTCCTCAATGATATTTTTTAATAATATTATGCTTGTGATATATAAAATAAATATTTTCAACACACACCAATTAGCCTAGCCCCAAAGTAAGCACTGTAAGGCTTGTGTTATGGGATACTAGGGTAACGGATAGAATACATATACTGTACATATATAAGTATATTTATATAGATATACATATTAAACACCCATGACTGGAGTACAAATGCTCGTATTCATCACACAAACATCTGCCCCCACCGGGATTCGAACCCGGGACCTCTCGAGTCGGCGACACCATGAAAGCCGGCGTACAAACCACTCGGCCACGGAGGTCGTCACATATTTCTATAGGAATCTAATCACAGTATTTTGTGCCAGTTGATAGCAAATTCCATGCAGAAGTAGTTTGTTCGTGAACAGTACTTTTGGGAATTCAATTCCTATTTGTTCTGTTCACAGAACTAATGATAAAAAAAACCAAGCAGTTTGCCGACAGAACTATTCAACAGAACAGGTGGGAGCAGAGGCTTATATCAGTGGTTTGCACGAACCATTATCGAATTCCAATAGTTGAATTCGTTTTATATCACGTAAAATGTGTACTGATTCTTAATTCTCGTTACGGCCGTTGTGGCGCTGTTCAAGATTCAATACAAAATTAGACGATGACATTTCGCACTCGCAAACTATGCGAATTCGATATTGATTCGTACTGATCTAACTAACCTACCCCAGGCCATATTGGAAGTCTCGTCAGTACCCTTAGCTTGAACCAATATCGAATTCGAATAGTTTGCGAATGCGAGATGTCATCGTCAAATTTTGATCGCCACAACGAACGCAACGAGAACTGACAAACAGTACCCCTAGCACGAATTAATATCGAATTCGTATTGTTTGCGTATCCGAAATATCATTGTCAAATGTGTACTGATTTTCAGGTCTCGTTACGTACTTTGTGCCGCTGCTGTTCCAAGTTTCCATACAAAATTTGACATTGACAATTCGGTTTGCAAACTATTTGAATTCGATAATGGTTCGTGCTAAGGGTACGGAGAGCTACAGATAAAACTAACTTTTTATAGTTATTATAAGTTGTTTTTTTTATTTTCAAGCATTTAAATGCTAGATGTTTAAATCAAAAGAAAAGTTTACTAGAAAAAAAGTCCCGTCCGCTGCCTGGTCCGCGTGGATTTTTTTCTAGTAACCTTTTCTTAATATAAGTTTTTACGAGATTGTTACCATGGACCTTGTTTTTAGAGATATTTGGGCACTGTTGCAAGCGCCATGATAATCTTTATATATATAATTCTTCTGTGAGTGTGTATGTCACTGAACTTCTCTTAAACGACTGGACCGATTTTGATGAAATTTTTTGTGTGTGTTCAAGGGGATCTGAGAATGGTTTAGATTCACAATTTTGTCCGACTGGACCGATTTTGATGAATTTTTTTGTGTGTGTTCAAGGGGATCGTTAGATATTGCCATAACATTTGAATAATAATTTTCATCAAAATGGTCCAGAATGTTTTAGCTTATTAAAAAAAGTTTGAAATTTTCAAATTAAAGACGTGTAGACAGGACAACGTCTGTCGGGTCCGCTAGTAATATATATATAAGTTATTTACAGGTCACTCGTGTCACAATGTTAGTTACCATACTCCTCCGAAACGACCTGACCGATTTTTATGAAATTTTATATGCATATTCCGTGGGTCTGAGAATCGGCTACTATCTATTTTTCATATCCTTAAGTGATAATGGTTGTCCACCTGTAACGTAGTGAAACCTACAATGCGCCTTCGCGCCGAAATTGAAACTATTGGGTATTGTAACGTAGTGTTCTCATATGGGTTAGGAGAAATGTTATCTCAGGAAATTGATAGAACACTACGTTACACACCCCTAAACCACCCCTCTTCTACCACCTGCCCCTGTTTTTATGGTGGTACGAAGTTCGCTGGGTCAGCTAGTATTACTATAATGTATAGTGACTATAAGTTTAAAACAATATACTAACTTTTTGTTGGACGACAAATTCATATGACCCGGCCAATGCCAAAGTTACTTAAATTCCACAATTGAGAAAATGCACTAAGGCCAACTCCATTAGTTATTTTATATATTTAAAATATGTAAAAAAAGAAATAACAAAAAAACTTTTTTTTAAACAGTTTTTATTTAAATAATTTCTCGATTACTAGCCAAGATACAAATCGTTACAATTAATAAAAATTTAAATAACTATAATTACATTAAACTAATCGATAATATATCACAACACAATATAATAAGTACATCTATTCATTTAAAATTATTTTTATCGGTAGTCAATAAGATGTATGTATAAAAAATCCTCAGGTGTATATTATACAATAAGTATGCAAGCCACTAAAAATTTGTCAAATCAAAGAAGAAAAATGACAATTGTCTACTGTAGTCGTCAAATGATATCAGTAACTTGTTCATGTGGATTTTTATATAAAACTGTTTTAACTCACACTTCTGTCTCACACATTAATCTTGACAAGATCTGAGAACGAGACAGACATATGTCACCGTTTTCTCATTCGTTTCTTTATTGGCACGAGATATACATTTCTGCCGCTTTTTGTATTGCTCCTATATCTACTGAACTTAGATTAAACAAAATGGGAAGATACGGTACGCTCATACTAGCATTAAATAAAATATGATCCGACTCAACTACATAAGCAACTCTCACACACGCACACATCTGTAAATAAACATTCAATCGAGCGAGCTCTCGCTCCAACTGTACGCTTCAACGCAGCGCGAGCGAAACGGCAAGTCCGCGTCGCTTTGCAGCCAACTGCGATTTCTTTTCTCTCTTTACAGTCGGCTGAGCTGTATTGTTGTCCTTTTCTTGATAAATAACATACACGAAAACCGTTATTTTTGAGAAAAAAATATTAAAAAATTATTTTACAGTTTTATGAATGAGATGTATTGCCGAAGCATTTGTTGTTTGATCTTGAACTATTTGTGTTCTTTATAAAAGCATAGAAGGCATTGTTTTATCTTTACAACACAGAATATACGCAATACTGTTATATTGAGTGCGCATGCATCGTGTTTGAATATCCAATTGTGACTAAAGCGAATTGTGGTCATGCACCACAATTTGAGCGGATCGCTTTTGAGCCGCGAGTGCCGTACCTTCCCTTTTTGTTTTAATCTAAGCTACTGAACAATAATAATGTACGTTGGCTTTATAATAACTGTACAAAATATGAAATAATGGACAAAAAATAACTTTTGTAGAGCTATATCTATATAAATGACTTTCGATTTGGAATATTTTTGTATTCTATAAAGTGTACAATTCACCAATGCGTATGATTCTTATGATCCGTCCATTATTTTCATTCAAAAACTTACTTAATTTCAATAATGCACTTAATTAAGCTTTTTAAAGATTATTTTGCGAAAAGCTCACTTTTCATTTAATTAAATCACACAACGTATACTCGCCTTTGTTTCTTAACTAATAAGATTCAAATTTCGACAATTAATAATGGAATTCCTGTAACATCGCGACTTTAACGAAATACTGCTGTTATATAATATTATCATAATTTGCACTGGGCTCCACGCCTTGCCTCAATACAGTGTAATTTACTCCAATATGGTAATCAGATACTTTTTGGTCGTAAATTGGAATGAAATCCCTTATGTTATTTCTAAAGTTATTTTCGGTTTTTTTTTCTTTACCCCGCCATAATATATATTGATGAAAGATGAAACTTAAAATCTTTACAGTGTTATTTGTAAGTTTTCAATAAGCGTTAACCACTGGATTATCATCATAGTGAAATAATGTAACATAACTTTCTACAGTTCATGGGAGCCTGGTACTTCAGATTTACTTAGATTAAGATCTACCTGCATCATTAGGAAATATGAAATAATGTAACATAACTTTCTATAAGTTCATGGGAGCCTGGTACTTCAGATTACAGATCTACCTGCATCATTAGGAAATAAAGTGATAAATAACATGGCTAAGGAACTGCCCTTAACGTGTATAAATATTTCGCACTAGCCCGTAACTTTACAATATTTTTTTATTAATTATTACGTGTTTATTATTCTCATACAACTTTCGTGAAATAATCAGATATTTAAAAGTATAAAAATTGACTTCATGTCTGTTTCAAAAGCAAAACGTTCTGTTTTACAAAATAAATGAAGTATAAATGTACACAAAATATATTTGTGTAAGTATATCGAAATTAACAATATTATTTCTAAACTCCTTCAAACTATGACATATTTGGCCCTAATTTTTGTTATAACAAATCACTGAAAGCCTAAAATAATAGGTCTTATTATTCTGATCAGGCTTGAGACAAGGCTGTATGATAATTTATCCTTTTACGAATTATTTTGTTACTTGACATTGGCTGAACGCACAAACCGTGCATGCCATAAAAAAAGAAAAAGAAGAAGAAAAACGAATTATTAGTATTTATTTTTGCTTTTAAAAACTTTTTGTGAAGAGTTAATCAGAGAAATGGGTAAAAAGATTCTATGAAAATTCGATATTGATGACTCTGTAAATAATTGGCAACATCTTGTATCAAGTGTAGTAAGGTAATGACATAGTAGGAGTTTTTATAATTTTCAAGATTGTGACTTTATCAAACGTTCCTGAGCCTTTTTTAATAGAAATTATAAATATTCAGCCATTTACCATTATAAATTACTAAGTACAGTATTTATACATTGCCAGGGCAGTCACTCATACAAATCTTTACCATGTCCTTTTCTTTTCTCTACAGCTTCATTTTGAATAAATAACATTTGAAAGAGTAACCACGGCAATCGGCTTCAAAGACCACATTGAAAGATTTACAAATATTACAAAATAAAATTATAAAAGTTTTGTTTCACATGAATTTCCGTACAAACACAAAATTTCTATATAAAAAAACTAAATTATTTAATATCGAACAACTCTTCAAGTACAACGTATGTATCTTAATAAAAAAAATTATAACAAAAACAATACACACTAATATAAATATTCCACAAAGGCAATTTAGACATAATTTAAGAAATAAGAACAAACTATGGCTGCCTTTGCCAAGGACAGTTAATTATGGTAGAAGGAACATAACTTTTGAAGGAGTCAACTTTTACAATACATTACCTGAAGAGATTAAAAATTCCGAAAACGTAAAAAAATATAAAAAATTGCTTAAAATACTCATACTAAGTGAGCTGTAAATCTAAATCAATTTTATATTTGGATCGGTTTATTGTTCGTTTTGGTCGGTTTTTTGTGTATATATATATATCCACGATTTTTTTTTTTCAAAATACGTGTAAACGGGAAGCGGATTGTGGTTGGGACTGGATCTGTCTGTATAAATAAAAAAAGGGAATCGCTAAAATGTACCAACTATGTTGCCCCAGTTTTTTAAAATACTGCAGGGAAAAGATTTTTTTTTTTCTTTTGTTTTGTTTGTTTATATCGGGACGTGGTAAAAGAAAATTCAAAAATTAAATATATAAATATAAATTCTAACGCAATGAGATGCATTAGCGACTCCGCATCTTTCATAATGCTATGCATCGAGTGACTGATGTAACAATATCTACCGTCTTGGTTACTTATCGGCACTCCGCCGGTACGAATTGCATGTTTTTCTTTTTTTCTTTGTGAAGGGACGGTAGCAAAATAATAATTTTGTCATTCGCTCGTAAACATGCCAGATTACATTTTTGTATTGTGCTTGTATTAATAACAATAGTTTGCCTACCTATTGTACTAAATTATAGTTTTATAAAGCAGCTGCGCTGTGTCATTTCAATTAAGTTATTAGTTTTAGTTATGTATCTCATTTTAAGTGAACTGTCTGTGTAAGTTCGTATGAGAAATAAATTCTTTAAACCTAACCACATTGAACATTATTTATTAAATGCATCCTTATATACATTTATACACAAGAAGGAATGTGGAAAGAACCAATTTCAAAGCACCGAAATTGATATTCGAGTTGCTACATCAATTTTAACTCCTTTACGACTATAAAATTGTAATAATACGCTAATTTAAAAAGGAAGTCCAATAACAATAGTTTTCAATTTATTTCGGAGAAACGCAGAAGCTTTTGTTTTTAGTAGGTATAGATATCTCTCTCCATCTTGGTAAATATTTGTGCGAGAGAGTTACCATACTTATAAATATCTTTCCGAATATGAACAAATTTCAGTTTTACTAAATGAAAGAAAAATTTTGCTTCGTGACCAGTTCTTGGCAAGAAATAACTAAATATAAAAAAAAACACGACGTTGAAAATGTTTTGTCACTTTTTTCCGAGCTTTTCTCCCAGCTAGTTTTTAATTACAAATTCATAGCCACACCAAGGCACTAATTCTTCCAAAGTGGCAACGTTTTTATACACTAGCAACACTATAAGAAAAATTCATGTGCCATATTTTAAAGATATGCGTGATTGGTATTTTTAAAGCATCCCTCTTGAGGTACACTAGGAATATCCGATTCATTGTGAGAATATTTCAAAATATTCTCTACAATAGGGACATAATGGTGTCGATTCTGGCTTGATTCTCAAGCTAAACTTAAATTTGACAACAGTGTATCTCTGTCATTCTCTATACAGACTGAAAAGGACAGACTAATGTCAAATTTAGTTTTAAGTTTAGAGAATCCTGCCAGAATCGACACTATTGCCGAATTTAGTGAGAATGCCCTTAATTTAGAAATATTTTTTTACAAGCTTTCATTTAGGAAAATTTTTAATAAGTTTTACGAAATAGTTTTCTTCCTTAATTTTTTATTTTCATTTAATTAAGAAATCATTAACGATGCTTTATTATGCTACTTTAAAACGTTTTAGTCTTCTGAAGATAATATCAAATGTTAGGACTTTATAATATACACAAAACGCATCGCTGCAATTTATCAAAATTTCACCGGTGCTTCATTAATCATCCATCGATAAGACGCCTTTTATTTTCATCATCAGCCTATTAATGTCCCCACTGCTGGGGCATAGGCCTTCCCTATGGATGGAATAGGGAGATTGGGCCATGACCCACCACGCGGGCCCAGTGCGGATTGGCGGGTGCTAACGACTGCAGATGCAGCCACCCATCCAACTCGAGATAGAAGATTTTTGGTCACCCATCCAATGACCGACCACTGCGAAAGTTGCTTAACTTCAGCGATCGCAGCCGAAAGCGCTAACCACCCGCGCCTTTTATTTTATGACCCATTATTGCTTTAAACGTTAAGGTAAGTTCTGATGTATTTTATTTTTGTACCTTATAAAAAGTTTCTTATTTCAGAAATCAAAAAGTTTTATGATTCATAAAATAATGTAAGATGATAAACCGATGATATTTTGTTTATATTCTTGTACGGCGACTTGCAATTCCAACAATATATTTTGTAATAATCTGTTTAAGTACGAAATAGGGTATTTGATAAGTTTTAAAAAACGATCTCATGTTATTGAGTAATGTTTATGGAGTCCGTAAAAAGTTCATATTCATCATTCTGTTGTGTATTTCAGTAAAAAGAACCAAATAAAAAACTCCATTTTCAAGTTGCCGCGAAAACGTTTTTCTGGACAATATGGCGTCTTACTAGTGTGTGACGTCACACGACTGTTATTAAAACGTCAAACGATACAATGTAATGTCACTTTAACCGGAAGTTTACTTGCGTGTGACGTCATTTTGCACCGCCAATCCCAAGCGTTTTGGGTCACGTGACAATAAATAAGAAAGCTATTATCTATTTCGTGGGTTTTTAGTAAAATTATAATTTTTTTGTAAAAATAGTAAAAACCCCTGTCAATATTCATTCTAAACACAGACGCTAACAATTGGCACTTTATTTTTAATACTGTCAAATACCCTATTGTATTAATCACGGCAACACTGTACCCAAAGTTGCCAGTTACAATAATTTGGGCTACGCTCGGTTATTTTGTGACGAAAAAAAAGGCAAATCAAATATTAATTATAATACGTATAAAACTAAGCATTACAAATAGATTTCTTAGAGATATTTCAGTGCTTTTTTGCATTTTTTTTATTTAAGTATAAATTACATACACGCATTATTTTTGTACTAATTATACATTTACAAAGTTTATTCTATAAACGGGCTATTTTACATTTCGAGGATTTGACCTTTAACATAATCAAAAAGAATATTTTCGTAAGAGTTCATATCTAATTAAAACAACAAATGTTTTCATATCACACACACACTATCTAATAATGTTCTTGACTCGTTCGCGAGATGTTTACAAATATCTTCCGACAGTTAGATAAACTTAATTTGGTATTCCCTGATTTGAGATACTCTTAAAATTAGTCTCATTTAAAGTTGCCAATACCAAATTGATTTGAAGTGTATAAATCTAAAATTTCACAAGAGAATATTCTACTTGGTTGAGTTTTATGAGAGGATTCGAACCTACACCTTCCGCAATCCGGGCGCACGCGCTAACCAATTATACTAATGTGACTTTAATAGCCGTTTCGAATCTCTTCTAGTATTTCTTGACTGAATTTCAAAACTTTACAGAAAAGATTACTAGAAAAAATTCCACGCGGGCCAGGCAGCAGACGGGACTCGAACCAGCACCCTTCGCTATCCGGACGAATGCTCCGACCATTATGCTACCGCGGCCCTGACGGCCGTGTCGAATTTTCTCTAGCCTTAGGCTGCAATTTTTTTTTTGTTTTTTAAGCATTTAACAGGTAGATTTCACACTTAATTTAAAAATACGTGATAATACAAATGGATGGATATACTTCAAATCAATAAGGCAGCAGTTGTCCAGCTGGAGCGACGTACCGTGTAGCAGGCTGTCCCTGTCACTCGGACCCGTGAGAGCGAGATAGCTAACCTAAACTGTGAGGGCGGCGGTTCTCTCTCAAATGTCCACTTCGCATATTTTCCTCTTCTGTGGCAAACCGTATTTGTCCTTCTTGATCACTTCCTGCTTTAGCCGTTGGTATGTTTCTATTCTGGAGAGAGCGTATTCCTATAGGGAAAAGACTTAAATTATTAAAAAAAATACGTGTGGCACTCGGGGACTGCCGCGGTAAAGCTATTGCATTTTTTTTTATCAACTTATGCAATTTTAATTGGCCTCCCGCGACTTCGTACACGTGGAGTTAGTTATTTGCGCATACTAAAACCAAAAGGGGGTTTATTACTTAAGATACATTATTAGTACACATCTACACCATCTATAGAGCATACATGTTAAAGGACAATGTTAAAATTGGCCTAAGAACCAACACCAATTTGGCATTTATGATAATTCTTAGTATATTTTTTGCGATAATAGTCAGTATTTAGATTGTGACGGACACTTCCAGTTAAGTAAGCTAAATTAAAAAGTTAATAAATAATCTAAGACAATGAATACCATTTTATGTGTATAATCTATGGCAGCGCTGCAAACAAAACACTCTTTTTTCCTAATGCCGGCACTTCACTTCGCTATTCGTATTTGCTATTTTAAAACATGACATCAGTGTGTCCTTTACATTCCTAATAAGCATGACAAGGACAAACTGTTGTCAAGTGAAAGGCCGGCATAAAACGCGTTACTCTGTGGTTGTGGTGCATGCAGTTTGCATTCGTAGTAATCTGTGGCATTCGCGCATTCCAAAGAGTAATTTAATATACCGGAAAGTGCATTCTCGTTTCGGATTACCCGTTCTGTGTGTTTATTTGCGATTGTTTTTCCATTAATTTAACTATTTCGGCTATCTAATATGCCATCGATGTTACCAAAAAGCAGAGCCCTTATTACCAAGTGCTAGTGAACCTGTGCCACAACATCCTGAGAGGATCATACTGCCAAATTATTCAAGAACAGCTGATACACATTCACGCTGTATATTTACACAATATACATGTGATATACAAATAAATACAATATACAATATGATAAAATTATGTGAAAAATAGTCAATAAATAAGAAGCAAAACTACAGTTTTTATTTTATTCATGATTCCTAACTTACCAAGTTTTTCCTAATAGTTATTCTTTAAAATCGCACCGAATAAAATGAATTAGTTGTAATATCAATTCACTTCATACTGAGTTCATACTAAATTCATAGGTTGACCTATGTTTCATTGAATATTAAACATAACCTCAAAAAAAAAATAGTTTTCCTAATAATTTAAGTTCTCAGAAGTGTCCATTAATAATCTTAGTTTTTACAGTCATTTACTTACGATTTTGAACCTAGATAATAATATTTCATGATTGTTGGTTCTTAGGCTAACTATGTATGGACGCTGAACAATGTCCTTTCAAGTCTCACTTCAAAAACATAGGACTGTCATACAAACTTCCGGTTTTATTTCAGATAATATCAGTTAATAGGATAAAATTAGTTAATAACGCCTGTCATAGATGGCGCTGAGTTATTGTGAATTGCGGTATGGTTTTATTTCGGTGGTTATAACTATGTTTTAAACCTTGTTAATGGGCTTTTTTCGCTGGTTGCCTTATTAAAATTGTATGGATATACTTCAGAGTTTCAATTCACCACAATCAAAAGTTTATTCAGGGGCTGTAAGGTTCCCGGAATTGATAAGCCAGCATCTGGCAAACCTAACGATGATCCGTCCCCAAACGAACGCCCCTTTTACATCTCTTATCTATTAGACAAGTCCGTCCGTCTGTGGTGCTGTTTCAGCGGCCAAACCGTAAGAGATAGATAAAGAGAATATTTAAGTTATAAGTTAAGAATAGTCTGATAAGACTACAAACCGGATTTGAGTAACGTAGCACTTCGAGAAATCACGAATTTCAAACGAAACCACACAAAATCTCCGAAGTTCTCAATTAATTAAATACATTTTTTTTTCTTTTTTTAAATCAGGTTTTGGTGAACATTTGGTTCACTGGTTTGCTAGTATAATTATATTTATAACCCCTCGTCTGTGCAGACATCTGCTTTGTTTTTCACGGAAAATCAAAAAAAATCCTCTTATTATTCGAGTTCTACTGTACTTACAACCAGGCTTCATGTATGTCTTAAATCAATCCTGAACAGTTTCTCTACAAACTTATCTATATATATTAGATGCGTAAATTAAAAACCATTACTAAATATGAAAAAATTAAAAATCTATACATCTTTACATATAAATAAAATTGAAGTGTCTGTTTGTAATATTGAAATAACTTTTTACTACATACACCAAAATAGCATTTTTTACATTTTTGTCTGTCTGTCTGTCTGTTTGTTCCGGCTAATCTCTGAAATGGCTGGACCGATTTTGACGGGACTTTTATTGGCAGGTAACTGATGTAATAAGGAGTAACTTAGGCTACTTTCGTTCGGCGAAGTCGTGGGCGGCCGCTAGTATGAAAATATTTTTTTCAACTCGTAGCAGTTTTTTTTTTTATAGATAGGTCCGACAAATGACTACACCCCACCTGATGTTAAGTGAAGGTGAAGTCCAGACGCGAAGATAGCTGATACAGCAGTTCTACCTGCCACACCAGCCATCCTCACCCTGCCGGCCTGCATGTTGCTTCTTCACGCCTCTTTTAAAGGATCCCAGGTTGATATCCATATCCACTTACAATGACGAGGTGAAATAGTGTTTGCAACTCACCCAATAACCGAAGGGTATCTGACTCTTGGACGCGTTGACCACAGACCATAGACTCCAGAACAGGTGGCTGGCCAGCGCGAAAGCGTCCACCTCGCCCAGGAGGTGGTTTACCTCGTCTATGGAACAATAGTATTTCTCCTCCGAAACATTCGCGTGGTAGTGCTTCAAGTACTCCTTGATGAATATCTCCTGGAAACGTATTACTTGGTCAGAAGGCTGCTAAACCATAAACTACTTAAATTTTTTTAATTGCTAACCCTAATTTATCAACCTTTTGAACGCAAAGTCATTTTTGTTAATGTCAAAACTTCATTATAGGCAATGGCTTCAGTTTCAATATACCATTTAAAGTGAAGGAAGCCAAGGTAGTTTAAAAATAAAAAGATTCGAAACGGAAAAAAAATAAAATAATAAAAACGCGATATAAACTCGGTTGAAAAGCAATTTATTCTATTTTTATCTTGAATTTAAATTTTATATTTAATACAACTTTGATTTCCACTGCATTTCGACTTTGTAATCAATTATTTATTACATTTTTTTTTATAAACTCGTTTGGAAAGCAATTAATTTTTGTTAACGTTTGAGAAAGCTAAGATGATTTTTTATTTATTTACTTAAAATTCCCATTACAGGTATTATAGCCCAATGCGACAATGTATCTTATTTAACTATTAATTGTATTATTATTATCTTGATATATTATTACATATGTTTTTTAAAATAAAAAAAATAATATATTTTAATAATAATTTATACCCTTATTAGTTTATTAACATAATAGTATAGCCCAATGCGACAATGTATCTTATTTAATTATTAATTGTATTATTATTATCTTGATATATTATTACATGTTTTTTAAAATAAAAAAAATAATATATTTTAATAATAATTTATACCATTATTAGTTTATTAACAAAATAGTCAAATATATTTGTATTTATACGAACTAATAAAAATACTTATTTCATTGCACAATCATTTGTGAAATGTACGTCGTTCGGTCGGTTATATACGACAAGCTGTTGTTTAACAATGTCGTTTTAATATGACAACGACAGGTAAAAACATGTGTTTTTTAAACAGGTAAAAAACATCTTTAACAGGTTTATGATACATCATACAAAAATACATACAACCCTAAATTTTCTCACTTCTACCACCAACCTCTATTTTTTATGACGGTACGAAGTTCGCTGGGACGGCTAGTATATAATATGAAAACATGACGTTGCGTTCAAAAGGTGTATATATATTTATACAAAATCAATATTTTATTTTATAAGTATATTATATTTTCAGATTTTGTAATCGATGACAAGCCTCTGCACAAACATTGCTTAGTAAATACAAGATTTATATCCATTTCGTTAAAAAAACTGAATCCAATTAAATGGGCCTATATTTGCTAAAAACTATTGATGAAAAAATTAAACACTGTAAATCGAATATGCACTTGAAATGCCCTCACTTGGTAAGATAAAAGAAGTGAGCAGAAAATATATATTACGACAAACTTTAAAAATAATAAATTCAATCAAGTATAGGTAAGATTTTAAATAAAAATTATTGCAACTGACAATTATGAGAGACACAATCATGTTGCTGGAAAAAAATAAGGCTTATATTTTCTCATCTTCAGCAGTTAAAAACGAAAATCTATAATTTAAGACTTCACTTTAATTTTGAATATGGTGTAGTGATTTTAATTTATGATCTTAATAATTCTAGGTTATTTTCAATATTAGTAAATAAATTATAATGATTTGCATTTGGCTAATATATTGTTTTATGTAAGTGTGATTTGTTGTGGAATTTTCAAGCATTGTCGTTAATATGTTGAAAACATTCTAAAAAAAATCAGTAATTTATTTATGTATAAAAAATTTCATTTAAAGTTCAATATTTCATAAAAACTGTTTTAACGTAGGTAAGTATTTGGAATTCATTATGCCTATATTTTCTCATTTTTAGTATTCTTGATAAAATATTTTTAAAACGCGATTTTTAACTGAATATTTTTTCATAAAACGGTTTCCGAATGGAGTGATCAGATAGTATAAGCCATGAAATAATAATTTTATGCAATTTTCTCAAAACCAACCACGAATCAAGATGGCCAAATAATATTTTCTAAAACAAACAATGCTTGAAAAATTCGCATTAGATAACCAAAGTGTTGATGACTTAATATTTAATTATCAAAAACAATTTATAATATTAAGTGACCAAAACCTTTTTTGCTTTCGCATTTTCGTTTAATGAAAAATTAATAAAATTCTTTTGGACTCTCATTCCGTTGTGTGTGCTTTGAACGCAGCTTCCGGGCGGCGAGGCAGTGCCATAGACAACGGGGCCCGCTCAGCACTGGTTGTCTATGGGCCGGCCATAGAGGACTGCCACTAAAAACCAAGCAGATACACACACAAGCTGCGTACTGGCAAAGTTTTCTTCTCAATGCTCGTAGGTACCAGTTAAAGGTGCAATTTAGTTTTGAAACTTTCTCTAAGAGTTGTCTGTGGCAATATTTTTAAGTTAAAAGAATAAAAAAAAATATAGCTTTGCTCAATAAATTTGCGCTCAAAAAATTTGGGAAAATAGATGAAATGAACATCCTTTTATATACGTTAAAACACAACAGTTTTCATAGTTTGCTTCCAAATTATAATTAACAAAAATTAACAATAAATAAAAAATAAATATCGAGTATAGACTTGCCACAGACAACGAGTTTCAGTGAACTGTTCTCAGCTTTAAAGCATTTTGGTGTAAAAATGAGAATGTAACCTCTTTAAAAGATTTTTCAGGAAAATCGTTTAAGTAACAATAACTGTGAAATGAATCGTCATTCTTTACCAAGTCGACATATATCACTGACATAATTGTGGTCAGTCATAAGTGACAATTATGAGAATTATATTCGGAAATGCTTATAAAAATAACAGGCAGTCCCTGTCTCACTTCATCGACAATTATATTGTGAAACAAGGCATTTTTTTTAGAAGTTAAGTTAAGCTTCACGATTCGTTGTTATTTAAACACGTGGTGTTTTCAAATAAAGTATCTGTTCATATTTTAAAATAAAATAAGCTTTCAAATTAACCATCAGTCACTTTTGAACCATTTCCTTTACTCAGAAAGATTTTTTCTCTATGTAATATGAAAAGTTAAACTTTTGCTTACAAGTTAAGAGCCCTTTCACATTTTTTGCAAAAAAACCTAATTTTTGAGCGCCTTATTTACCCCCTTAGAAAAGATTTTGACTATTTCCAATAGAAGTTAACAGTAGAATTATTCTTCCTATTGTAAGTTAATGTAGAATATTTGCAAATACTATTTTCCTTTTTTTGTACTGATCGTTCTACTGCAGCTAGTTTACAAAAAAAAAAAAGAAATAATATGCACTTGAAGTTGTGCATATTATTTCTTTTTTTTTTTGACGCCTGAATCTCTCAATAATGTTCAACAAATTTGATCAAATTAATTACTTTGACATCAGAAATATGTTTTTGTTGTAACATAATGTATTAGAATTTTGATTTTCTATCTCATTAATAATCAAAAAAAACATCTAACCTCCGTGAGATTTACCAAAAAATAATGCAGGTTTTACCTCGTATTTTGATATTGAATTAAATAGAATTACTATCAAAAATTTTCATAAATCTAATCTACCATCATTGAACTACTGAAATATGTAAATATTTTTATAATTAGTTCATTAATAATTATCTTATAAGACTCTAAAAATCACCCGTAAAATGCAATATATACTAGTGCAAATCTACCTACGCGCCGATCAGTACGGCAGCGGTGCAATTTTGTAAAAGGGCTCTTAAACATCCACACAAAAAATAGAAATAAAAAATAGCAAGATAAAACTAAAACGTACTTCATCTTCTAAAGAGGTCACATTTTATATATTACTGACAATTATACAATAGATCCAGAGCGGTGATAATGAATTACGAACCTTATGACAACGTGCCGTACGGTACACAATACGTATTGCGTCCTCTGCAACTTGAAGAAAATGATAAAAGCGAAGTGTACAAGCAATTTTGAACATTAAACTCAACGGCGTAAGAGCTAATTTTTTATTATGAACTAAATCCCGTTTCGAAATCTATGAAAATTGGAGTGAATGGAGAGAATTAATAAGATCAGTTTTTTTAAAGTTATACGATACACATTATTACGTGCCAAGTTTAGTGTTAATCTAAGCACAAAACTAGCATTAATAACTTCGACGATATGTGATGTCTGTCTGTTAACTAGTAACCACTCAACTTAGTTTAAACCGAGCCTCTTCGAATTCATTCATTCTTCATCTATCTGCATGAAAGTTGATACTTAGAACAGACATTTCTTTATGAGAGCATAAAAACCTACCACTGTTTTATTAACCGAAACTTAAGTCTCAAAAGGGTAGAAATTCCCAAAATCTTTGGTTTTTTAACAGACACTAAGTCGGTACACCATTATAACCATATTGGGCTGAACAAAAAAAATTTAGAATGTAATCAGTTGCTAAATACAGTTAGTAAAAGTCAAAGTATACTTTAATTATTATTTGTATTTTCCGGATATTATGTTAGATCCAATCCATGCAAAAAATGTTGTCGTTGATGTTTGTCTATGGGAGTGATGTTTATACACTTTTTAACCTCAATATGTACTTTTGATGGCGTAAAGATATAAATTTTCACAGATTCAAAACGGGTACACGACGTTCAAATTTACTTGTAATGTAAACATGATTACGGATTTGACTAAAGACTAACTTAATTTAAGCCACTTTTTCAAGCACCCTGTATACCGCTTAGTTAGTAACTTTTGCATTTGATCAGCTGTGAAGCCATGAAGTAGTCTAGTCGAATTCATCAAAATAACTCTCAATAACCAAATCCTACCAATGTAAAATTAAATTACTTATGTTTTTTAATCAGTAATAATAATAAAATAAACGTTATGAAATTTATATTAAGATCGTCAGTTAAAAAAAAACTATTTATTTATAAATAGATAAATATATATACTTGGTATCTGTGAACTTATAGTAAATAATAACTTAAATTATGTCAGTAACTTTAGGCGCATATTATTAAAAGATGGAAAATTATAATTACAAATTTAAAAAATGCATATTTTTATAAAATTATGTTTTTGCAGCCATTTTCAGCCCCAACCAAATTTAATTATAGAAATATATTTAAAAACAAATTTTAGCCTTTGAGTACGTCATTATAACCAAATTTTTTATTGAAAAAAAAATCTTTGATATCGACCACGAAAGATCAATAAATACCCCCCGTTTCAAAGTGTTTAACTAACAAAGATTAGTAATTAAAACATAAGTCTAAAAAGACCTCAACAACAGTTGTATGAAACAACAAAAAATCTAAAATTCCATAATCTATCAAGTAAAGAAGAACAGAGACAGATATACAGAAAACGTTAACGAAGAAACGAGACAACGAAAAGTACTCACTTTCTGCTCCAAAGTCGGACAATTCTCCTGGTTCTCAAAGTAGAAAGGGTGTTCAGGATTCGTGTAGTCGTAACCCCATTCCTGAAAATGATTGGCGATATCGAAACCCCTGTAGTTGTACGCGCAGTATTCGAAGTCAATCAAAACCATTTTCGGTTCGCCCGAATCTGAGAGTATACTGTCCGATGTGTTCGCGTCCTCGTAACCGGAAACGGGGTCGATTCTATTGAGTATGTTCTCTGTGGATCTTAGGTCTGAAGGTCGTATTTCCGGTTTGTCCGTAACGCAAGTATGGTTGTTCTCTTTGTCAGATTTTGGTGAATCTGTGCTGCATCTTTGCATGTATAATGTTGATACGTCGTCGTCTGAGTTTTGTATAACGTCTTCTAGGAGGAGGATGTTGCCTGATTTGAAAAGGAAATTTTCCCATTATATTAATTTCTTTTTGATTTTAAGCTCACTTGTTCTAAAGTTTATAGAATGAAATTAAAAAGCAAATTATGTGTGGGTTCTATATCTATTTGATATTAAACAGTAGCCTGAAGACGGAACATGTATAAAACAGAATTAATTAATCATTAATTTAGTAGTCCTTATTGTAAATTGACTCAAAAAAAAAATGGGTGCGTGTACTTATGTAGGCGCGTGAGAAGTTATCCTTCTTTGGCATCGTTTAAAATTATTTTTTAATTGCATGCAAATAATTAATTACAATAAATTAATAAAAAGTCTGGAAAAGGACACAGTCAATAAAGTTCAGTTTTAATTTGAAAAAATAAATAAATAATCAAAATATTCAATTAATATCGCTACTGAATATAATTTATTAGAACATATGTGATTTGCACTTGTATGAAACTCAAACACGTATTCCGAATATACAAACTAGAAACATGTGGATAAATATTATAAATATGAATACCTATAACTGTTACTTTATTACAAAAAATAAAGATGTGGTTTTTGGTTCTACTACACCAATGGTCAAGAGATGGCGCTGTAGTCTCCTGAATCGCGCTTTGGTTCCGTTGTTCCAGATTAATAAATACTTTTGATAGGCCTTCATAATGCAGTCGTTAGCACCCACTAAATAGAGATTCTATTTCTATTTTGTTGGTAGATTTTCTTATTGTGCGGTAAACACAAAAGTAACGCATGAAGTTGGTCGCTAAAGCGACCAACTTCATGCTGTTAAAATTTTGTGTTACAGTGATGCGCGCGCATCTTAAAATTTCACTCTCATCATTTTTTCATAACGCGCCTACAGAAGTATAACTTCAAAAAAGTAAAATTATTAGAAAGAATAGTAAAATAATGATGAATACCAATTTGTTTGATTCTATTAGAATAATGTACAATTTAATAGCAAAACTCCTGAGATCTCCATGAGAATATTAAATAGAAATATAGGATGTGTAGGTTGTTATTGTAAATCTTACCTTCTTGTAGGTCGTTGTGACAGAATACAACAGGAGAGTCTACCAGAGCTATGAATTTTTTCAACCATTCAATTTCCTTCTCAAAGTCTATAGATTTTAAAGTCTTTATTATTTTCTTTTCATCATCATTCTGTGAAACAAAGATTTAATTACTAATTAACTCGCGTTTTACAATAAAATAATGTGCGAGTAAAATAAGACAGTATATATAAATGTGCAAGTTTCTGTGTTTCCTACTCGATAACGTTAAAATGCTGAACGGGTTCCGATGAAATTTGGCACGCGTATAGCTTATTACATGGATTTGAGACACTACTTTTTATCCCGGAAAAATTGTAGGTTCCTGTGGGATTTACAAAAAACTAAACACCATTTTTTACTCCGTAAATAATAAAGAAATCAAACAAAAAGTACTAGGAGCGCATAATACTCAAAGAAGTCACCTTTCCCTGTATGTTTCCCGCCAGTCTTTCCTCTCGAACGGTCTTCAACCACTTGCCCATGGTTTTCCAAAGCCAATTGGGCTCTTTTGATAATGGCACGTCCATAGAGTGGATGGCGGCCATCTTTTCCGCGATTTTCATAGACAAAGCCGGTTCTGATAGCTCTTTGGTAAGTAAGGAACGTGCCTAGAAGACAGATGTGACATAAACATACAATTTAATCGCATCCAGTACCAAACCAACTCCACCAAAAACAAGTGTTAATTATGGTACAAAGTATATTGAAAAAATAATTGTGTGCACGGACCACACATCCGAAGAACATATAACTATTCAAAATATTTTGTTTACAATAGGCGGTGCCATTCCTGCTCTGCTCCATTCCTTATGCATAGAGGAATGGAGCAGAGCAGGAATGGTTTTAAGTTTCTTCTAGTCATTGAAAGAATTATGGTACCAGGCTATCATGAAAACAAACGATACTCCGGTATATTCCTCGACCCTGCCGACCTCAGAGAAGTTAGCCCAACACTTTTTGAATTTTATTATTAAAAAGTATATCCAGGTTGTTCTGGATTGTTCTACATTGTTCTAAAGATTTATTTGAAAAACAAAAAATTGAAACTACAAGACAAAATAAATTTTATGGTAGCCCCCCATGTTCGGAAATTCAACATTTTTTTAGTTGTTCTAGTTGTACTTACCATGGCTACCATAAAAAAGTTTTTTTTGTCTAGTAGCTTAAAATTTTAGTTTTACTTCAAATAAAACTTTGGAACAATGTACAACAAACATAGAACTATCCAGAACAACCTGGATAGTAATATAATTAAAAAGTGGGGAGCAAACTTCCCAGAGGTATCCTGCCGCACTAAATAAACACAGTCTTCCTAGCTCAAGTACCAGGCTATCATGAATGAACAAGAACTCACCGGTATATACTCCTCGATTCTGCCTCCAGAGAATACTCCGTGTAACTTTGGCCCCAGTCTTCTCTCGCTTAGTAACGTAAAAACCACAGATTCGGTCACTATTGCGTCCATGGCTCGTTCACCATGCACCTGCCCGTATATCCTGAGGAGAACCTAGAAACAATATAAATTTTCAATTACATTCTTATGTAGAAATTAGTGTGCAGGTACTACTTATTCCTTGTCCTTATGGCAGTGATATAATACTTTTATTCATTGCATATCACATTCACAAAAATAAGGTGGTACATAACAAATACAGTAACCATGTGACGCCCTGCAAGGGCACAGCAACTTTAGAGGGTTATTATCTATTTAAAATTCATTATTAAACAATTGCACAATATAATTTATAAATTAAGTTTCAATCATTGTATACATACATTAGTATTTTGTGTCAACTCTAGCATGACTCTCCAACCCAAACCTAAATTTGACGACAGTGTATCCTTATCATTCCCAATACAGAATAAAATAGTTTAGAGAATCATGCTAGAATCGACACCATAAATTCATTAAAACATTTTTATTTATTCTTCATTTAAATACATTCATAATAAATTAAATTCTTAAGAGCCTGAAGCATTCCATTGGCTGGGTGATTTGTCATCGAAAAATTCATTTAAGTCAAAATAACATTTGGCAATAAGAAGTATACTATACTATTTTTATAGTAAATAGTATACTTCAAAAACAATAAATACCAATTTCATTAAGTTGTTGTCCGGGAACTAAAGAACAAGACTTATGAAAGTCAAATAACTCGAATATACGGCACCGTTTTTTACTATGACGATACCAACAATATCACTCGCACCGTGGCCCACCCTGACCCATTCCTCTACCCGCTGGAGCCCTGGAACCTTCATCATCATCATCAGCCTATTACTGTCCCCACTGCTGGGGCGCAAGCCTTCCCCATGGATGGAATAGGGAGATTGGGTCATGACCCACCACGCGGGCCCAGTGCGGATTGGCGGGTGCTAACGACTGCAGATGCAGCCGGGACCAACGGCTTAACGTGCCTTCCGAAGCACGGAGAACTCGAGATAGATGATTTTTGGTGAACCATCCAATGACCGACCACTGCGAAAGTTGCTTAACTTCAACGATCGCAGCCGAACGCGCTAACCACCCGCGCCATCCAGCTCCTCGTCTCCTGGAACCTTACTCACCACCAAAAGGTTGTCTTGTGTAAGGCGGAGCTTACTTACCAGACGATCGCTCCAACTCCAGAGGGAAATCCACTTTATATGACGAAGATACTGGCGTTTACTCGCAATAAGATGAAAATACCCTACCTTCCGTGGCTCCTCGATTGAGAAGGAGTTGGACCTGCCCATATTCTTCCTCAGGAACCTGGAGGTGAGCGAGACAGACTCGTCCTCTTCGGGGGAGCTCTCTCTCGCGTTGTACTTGCTCAGGTTGCTGGTGTCTTCGGGAAGAGCCACGTAGTACAGGAAGTTGGATAGACCACCGCTGCAAGAGGCAATGTTTACGTCAAATATTTGTAGAACCACAGAACACAGGAAGTAGTTAGAAAGGTCATGTGGTCGGGGCTTGGCCAAAACTTGGTGCTGATTGCGTCGTTGCTCTCAGCAGTGGGCGCAGCAGTTGGTTCGATATGTTGATGTGACTTTTTCAGATGTATATATATGTATGTTAAACTATAAAATGGCTTATTCTAAGGCACTAATGAAGTAAGCAGAGAGAATTTTGTTTATTTTTGGCTTTTTAGTGCAGTTAATAGAAGCGTGTTTTTAGTTTTTAAAACTATTATTTTTTTTATATACAGATCGACAAATATCCACTTGATTTTAAGTGTAAGTGGAGTGCAGTTGTGATGATAGGTAACTATAGGCATGCTCTCTCTGCCGGTATAAACCCAATCCCTTAGGGCGGTTGTTAACGAGACGATTCGTAACCCGGATCTAGGTTTTAAACCGTGTCTACATCCGGTCCGGTCGTTAGTGAAGTTTGGGACACTGCATAGTGTTTATTAATGACAATGACACATGGAAATACGCCCAAGATCTCAGCTATCTTCTGCGTCTGGTCACCACTCATACTTAACATCAGATAGCAGCAGATATATTTGCTCATCCGATAATAATGAATTTTGTAGCAAAACAACACGACTAATCGCGTAAAAACTAGATACGTGACAACTTTGACACACTTCAGCGACATATCATGTTAAAATCTTTGATCGATTGGATTATATTCATTGCCAACGATTCAATGACACGTGGAAAAAAAAACATCAATGATTACAATACAATAAGTGGGTTATAGGAAAAACACTACAATTAAGCATATATCAATAGCAATGAACTGATAACAGCTCGTAAATACTTTGAGATAAAATGAGGGCCCGAGACGTAAAATAACCTAATCTGTGCACTAGATAAGTGTACAGTACCCCTAGCACGAACCAAAATCGAATTCGTAACGTTTGCGAGTCCGAAATGTCATTGTCAAATATGTACTGATTTTTAGTTCTCGTTACGTACTTTGTGCCGCTGCTGTTCAAGTTTCCTTACAAAATTTGACATTGACATTTCGGTTTGCAAACTATTCGAATTCGATAATGGTTCGTGCTAGGGGTACAGTACATTCCTGTACTTTTCAAACGAATAGGGGTGATGACGGGGTACAGTAAACGAAATTCTATTTAGTCCGTCAGTTAAATGATCAAAAAATAATGGACTCGTATTTTTTCTTTGGGCAATCAACCAAAAAATGACAAAGTTATAGCGCGTCAAAGTTTGGGAGTAGTAGGGGCTCGTGACGTCACATTTGAGTGAATTTTCACTTATAAGTGTACTCAAACGTGACGTCATGCGACTTTTCAAATCAATATATCTCTGCAATGTTTATATTATGTGAAAAAGAAAAAATACGTGTCCAATACTTTTTGATAATCTACCTGATAAACGAAGAAAAAAAATAGTCATCATCCGTATTGGAAAAGGTGAATCAAAATATAGAACGTGCCTGTTACTTTCAAGTGCAGATTCTAAAAGAATATTAATTACAAAGGACCTAGGTCTGATTAATTTGTTTTTTTCGGATAAATACGACACCAAAATGGCGCGAACATATTTATTGAATTAATGATTTTTTTTATAGAAAACTAGTGTATTTATAAGAATATATTACACATATTATTATCATCCATCTCCAGCCTATTAATGGCCCCACTGCTGGGGCACAGGCCTTCCCTATGGATGGAATAGAGAGATTGGGCAATGACCCACCACGCGGGCCCAGTGCGGATTGGTGGGTGCTAACGACTGCAGATGCAGCTGGGACCAACGGCTTAACGTGACTTCCAAAGCATGGAGGATCTCGAGATAGAAGATTTCAGTCCTGGGGTCCATTAAGAGGCGTGAAGGAGCATTTTTGCAGGCCGGCAAGGTGAGGATGGTTGGTGTAGCAGTTTATAACTGCTGTACCAGCTATCTTCGCGTTTGGACTTTATCACCACTTAAAATCAGGTGGGGTAGAGACATTTGCCTACCTAGCTATAAAAAAAAATTTTTTTTGGTCACCCATCTAATGACCGCCCACTACGAAAGTTGCTTAACTTCAACGAGCTCCTCCTCGCTGCAGTGTTATCGTCTATAGCTGTTATACTTTTATGATTTTAGAAGCTGAGCATCTAGTCGACATTTGACCGCAATGACATTCGTTTAGAAAAAAACACTCATTCGTTTGCAACTTTGCTGCTTTTTTAGTTAAAAGCAAAAAGTGTTTACCATTTGTCATTTCAAAACAACCCCTCAACCTTGATATTTCTATAGATCTATACTTATAATAAATCTGTAGAGAGGTCAATTCTGTACATGAAATATATTTTCAAAATAACTATGAGGGGGTGATTAGTGATCGATACTGATGCCAAAAATGCAATCAGTAAAATTTTTGTCTGTCTGTCTGTCTGTCTGTCTGTCTGTGTGTATGTTCCTTATAGAAACAAAAACTACTCGACGGATTTTAACGAAACTTGGTACAATTATTCTTCATACTCCTGGGCAGGTTATAGTATACTTTTCATCACGCTACAGTCAATAGGAGCAGAGTAGTGAAGGGAAATGTTGGGAAAACGGGAGAAGTTACTCCATTTTTTTAGCTTCCGTTGCGTGTGCAGCCTTAATGGTTAAAGTTACATAGAAATCATATATGACGGAAATATTCTACATAAAATTGATTAAAAAATATCCCGCAAAAGCATATAAAGCTTTTATGGTTGACCCACAATAACACGTGTAACTCCTGATAGCTTAGCAGTTCGGAGCATTCTGATTATATTTGTTTACTCTTACGTTTATAATACTCTCACTCATCCCTAATTTAAAAAAGTTAACATTATTACCTATTCAATAAAAAAAGAATCATAGAAATCAGTATAGAAACACCAAACTTATACATGAAATAAGTCATCGCGCCGTCGCACGTGAATACTGAATCATGCTATAAGGATTATTTTTGTGTAACGGTTGCTGCGCTCGACATGGGTCGCGGCGGCGGTAGGCATAAGAAGAATGTCATTGTGTATAATACAGGCCTGAGAACAATAACTATAGTCTACACTTCAGCTCTACACCGAAGCGAAGCGAGGGCGGGCCACTAGTACTTAATAAACATCGAGTAATAATAAGAAGCACTCGCCAATCCACCACTGGGCCCGCGTGGTGGGTACCAGTGCGGATGGTTGTTAGCGCGTTCGGCTGCGATCGTTGAAGTTAAGCAACTTTCGCAATGATCGATCATTGGATGGGTGACCAAAAATTTACTATCTCGAGCGCCTCCGTGCTTCGGAGGGCACGTTAAGCCGTTGGTCCCGGCTGCATCTGCAATCGTTAGCACCCACCAATCCACACTGGGCCCGTGTGGTGGGTCATGGCCCAATCTCCCTATTCCATCCACAGGCCCGTGCCCCAGCAGTAGGGACATTAATATGCTGATGATGATGATGAATAATAAGAAAAAAAATGGTTGGTAGATACTCTTATACTAATATTTTGTAAAGATCTTGTGAATTTCTATCATAATTGAAGTTTAAACATGCCAATAAAATCTAAATTTTTATGCATTCCGATGAAGTAAACAAGTTCAACAAACAATTATGAGTCAACAATCTATAAATTTTTCCTTATAGATAAAGTCCACCGGCACGTCTTCCGTCTTCCTGTCTTTCTGCACGTTCGCGATGAACTCAATATACTGAATGAATTTTCCTTTGATTTCCATTATTTATCAGTTACAGAGTCAGTCAATGGATCACCTGATTAAGTCTAATTGTATGTCCATAACATATCCCATGTCCAGTACCCTTAGCACGAACCAATATCGTAATTAGAATAGCTTGCGATTGCGAAATGTCATTGTCAAATGTGTACTGATTTTTAGTTCTCGTTACGTCCGATATGGCGCTGCTGTTCTAATTTCTATACAAAATTTGGCAATGACATTTCGCACTCACAGACTATTCGAATGCGATATTGGTTCGTTCTAAGGGTACTGTACCCCAAAAGCTAGGATTTTTTTGAGCAATCCGTGCTCAAAGTACCAACTTTGTCAGATCCGTACCTCAAGCACGAACTTTGTCAGATCCGTACCTCAAGCACGAACTTGTCAGTTCCGTACTTCAAGCACGAACTTTGTCAGTTCCGTACCTCAAGCACGAACTTTGTCAGATCCGTACCTCAAGCACGAACTATGTAAAATAGGGAAGATGCAATATTTTTATTTTTGTTTTCATTTTAAAGAATTCCATGTAGAATAAACCACAGATATATTATAAAAGTGAAAACATTGTGATTTATCGGAAAAAATGCGGTTTTAAATTGACAATTTAAATTTTCGCGCGAAAACGAACCTATGGTTGCGATGACGTCACTCCTGTTAGTCACTGGTCGTAATACTTTTGCATATTTTTTCGACTTTCGATATATTTTTTTGAAAAATTTAAAATCTACTGTCTTTTTAAATTTATAATCTATGTTGATGGAACCATCATGTGATCATAACAATATCACTAATATTCCGAAAAAAAGCCGTGTTGACTCATGTTTTGTGCCAATCTACTTCAACAAAGTTCCCAAATAAATTGTTTTTGACTGGAACTTCTGACCCAAAACTGAAAAAAAAAGTGGTTTCAAGCTGCGAAGAGAAATGACAATTATTCTCCAAAGATCATTATTCGATGCTGAGAAGATCACTTTGACGTATGTCGGCGAATATACTTGTTATATGCTTAATTAATCTGCTTGTACGTAAAAACGCATTACTAACCTACCTAATACTTACAAAACCTGTCTATAACATATTTTTAATTTTACAGTTGGAGAATGACGTCGAAAATTAGATAAAGTTTAAAATGTGTAGCACAATCTTCACATTGGCAGGACTGAACCAAGCTTTGCGTTTCATTTAAAATAACTGTAACACGATAACCTTCTTTACGTACTTTA